TTTGTTTCTTTGTTCTATCAAACTAGTAACTATTTTTGCAGGCTTCATCACATCATTTTGATACGTACGCAGTGGTTTATCTTTATTATAATTACCAAATACGTACATTGATTTATAAACAAAAAATATATATATATATTGAATATATTATGATCAATTTGGTGATTTGGCCAAAAATATATGTTTATGAAGTTATCAAAAGTGACAATTTAATTAATTGATTTATTTCTTTGTTTTTAGAGATCTTCCCTTTCAGTAATTTCAAGATCTGAAAATGGCGGCATAGGTGTTATCACAGCACAGGGAAGAGCTAGCAAGGATGAACCTAGTGGTTTTATATTTAAGAATTGCAATGTGTTTGGGAGTATACAAACCTATCTGGGAAGACCATGGAGAGATTATGCCAGAGTTGTATTTTACAATTCAACCTTCTCAGACATTGTTGCCCCTGAGGGATGGGACATTTGGAATTCTGGTGGTAGAGAGTAAGACCTCTAAACTTATTTATAACTACATTAACCTTAATATTAATGTGGTAGTACAAAAATATATAATATTTCTTTTAACCCTTTAAAACCCTCGTGACCAAATCAAATTCATGTGTTCATTAATGTGAAACTAAATCCACATATAACAGTGCTACCAAAAGTGGAAAAAGAAAATTGAATCTTGGGGGTTTTCAACTTTTCTTTAAAAAATTGTCAAAATTGACAGTCAATATGTTTTAAAATATTAGGTATTTACTTGAGCCTTTTTTGTAGCAAATTTTTTTTTTTTTTTTTTGGGGGATACTTCTCCCAATCTTTAACCAACATTTAACAATTGACAAAATCTTTATGTTGTACTAGACTTGTCATTTCTTAATTTGAAATCATATAATTTTGTGAGTTTTTGAGTGTGATAATCTAGGTTCTTAGATGTTCATTATATATTGTATTGAAAAGCGAAAGTTGTATAAATATTCTCATTTTGTGTTATAATATTTTTTGTTGTACTAAATTGTTTATACAATCAGGAATCAAATAATGTTTGCTGAGCATGGCTCCAAAGGATTGGGATCAAATAATACAGGGCGTGTTGCATGGGAAATGAAGCTGGATCAAAAGACATTGTCGACGTTAACTAGCATGAAGTTCATCGATAACGAAGGCTGGATGAGCGCACAACCATTCAACATGTTAGCTTGATGACGAAGATCCAATAATAACAAAGTACTTTGTTAATAATTTATTCACCTAATTTTCATTTACTTTGTCTGCTTTTAATTTAATTCATGAATGCTGTAGAAAATTTTGAAATATTTATTTTGAAATTGACCTTATACCTCAGTGTGAGAGGTCAATGTTGAATGAGTTTTGAAGAAATGGAGTATTGGTGAAATAGAAATTAATTGGTTTGTGAGAAAAGAAATGGTTGATGGAGAAAAAATTGGCTTAAAGGAAATTATTCTCTTTTGGGTTTTCAATTTTTCTTTAATCATTCTTTTCAATTAAGTGAATTACTGTTGTATATTTGCCATGCAAATAGATACTACGTACAACCTAAAATTTAGGTACTAACAAATAAAATGAGAGAATCCTCTTGAGAATATTTATTTTAACAATTGTTTGTTGTTTAAAGTTAGTGACAAATTTCCAATATCAGATATGTGTTTAAATAATTTTTAAATGTTTCTATAATTTTTTTGAGAGCACTTCACTTTTGTATAATTGCACTTAATTTTTCTTTTTCTTTTAAAGACATAAATAAAGAAATCAGATTGAATTTATTCCAAAAAATGTTATTATTTATCACTTTTCTAATTTTGCAATTATAAATTATTTATATATTTATGATTGGACCACGTCACTGAATAGGGATGGCCTACTCAATTATGAGTATGCATGTATTGTTATTACTTTAAAGAAAATGATAAGAAAGTTCTTAAACTCATTAATACATCATCCCTCATTTTATAATTTCAAATCTATCCCCTTTCACTATAAACTTTTTATTCTTATCTTATTTACTTTCTTTACTCTCTTTTTTCACAAAATTCCTAGTATTTTAATTTTATTGTCACGAGAGTTGAGATTTCCTTTATCAACAAGTATAGTGTAAACTTAAATATTCAAATACATTCTTAAAAATTATATCAAGGAAAAAAATCAAACTAAACTCAAAGCATAAAATAGAAATGAATTTTTTTTTATAAAAAATATTACCATTCCCATCACCATCCAAATTAAGTATTAAAAATCACATTAAGAAAAACAAAATCTAAATGTAAACTCAAAGCATAAAACAGAAAAAATAATAATAATAAAAAATAAATTACCATTCTCATCACTATTATTCAAATTTTATTTTATTTTATTTTTTTTTTTTTATGCTAACATGATTATTTATGTTGTTCTAATCTGTTATTTTTTATTTGTGAAATCTTTCATTACCGTAATGAGAGAGAAGAGATCAATTACATCCTTATTTTTTTTATTTGTGAAATCTTTCATTACCTTAATGAGAAAACAGAAAGTTAATACAAAATAGAGAAAGGGTTTAGAAAGACAGTAAATTAGAGGGATAACAAAAAAGGCAAGATATCAAAAATGTTACTTAATTGAGAAAGAGGGGAGACCAAAAGATCTTACCATGATATTTGAAAAAAAGTAATTATTAATTTGTAAAGTTAAGATTAGATATGCCATTTCTTTTAGGGTAAATTACACCTAGACCCCCTGTGGTTAGGTCATATTACACCTATATGAACATTTTGGTTTTAGATTTTACCTATATATGAATAAGTGATTTAACATTTCACTTGCACCCCAAATATCAATTTAAAACTATACTACCCTTTGACCACATATTAATTATTTTTGTTACCAAACTACCCATTGCCCCCGCCTTTCTGTGAACCTTCCTCTCTCTCCCTCTCTACCTCTCTACCTCTCTTTTTCCCCTTTCTCTTCCCCTTCTCACAAACCCTCACACAAATACGCAAATACACACAAACCCTCACACAGATACGCAAATACACACAAACCCTCCCATCGGAATCAACTGTAGTCGGCGAAACCAAACTTAATTCGGATTACAGGCTTAGCGAAACCCAATTCTTCTCCAGCGACGAACGACAGAACTAAACTGACCCAGTTCCGGCGAGCTCATAGTGTCGGCGAAACAAAACTCAATTCTGGCAAGCTCCAAGTAGCAAAACCCAGTTCATATCAGCGTGTTCCCAAGTGACGACAAAGCATCGTAAAGATATGCAAGCTCAGAATAAAAGGTTCACCAATCAATTCACTGTGGTACCTAAGTAGCTAGCTGGGTATGGGCGTCTAATCAGAGCAATCAGCGATGATGGCGTCGGATGTGGCGTCGGATGTGGCTGTGGGTTGTGGAGCTGTGATTCGGCAGGCCGGCGGGGGGTGGTATATGGTGTGGGTGATATATATATGTGTGTGTGATTTGGTGGAAAGTGGGAAAGAAATCCTAAATCGAAGAAAGAAGACAAGGATTCAACGCTGCAGGAGGCTTCGACATCATTGCCGTCTTCTCCACTGTCGTCGCCATTTGATTTGACAAATCGTCGTCATCGGCGAATCGATCCCATCGTCTCTCCCGTCGCTATCGCGACCACCTCCACCACGACCTCTTTCACCGCTGCCGCAACTGTAGCTACCTCTCTCCACACAAACCCTCACACATAGATACGCGACTGTAGCTACCTCATTAATTTTCTCCCTTCTCACAAACCCTCCCGCCGGAGCACGAGATGAGGATTTTTGCCGTCAAGGCTGTAAGCCTGTAATCCGATGTCTCGCTGCCAAGATATATTGATTGGGCCACCGTAGAGGTTGTAATCCGACACCCGCTGCCGACATCAACTTGCTTTTCAGCATCGTCTTCAACAATCGACTTCGACTTCGACTTCGATTCTTTGTCATCAACGTTCATTTCGACAGTGGTTGGGATGGGATTTTGTATATTTTTGGATTTGGTTTTAGGTGGGTGGTGGTGATGAGGTGTTGGGTAGGGGTGCAGTTTGGTTTTGGGTGGATTGGTGGTGCAGGGAGGTGTTAGGGTGGGACGTTGGTGGTGATGGAGTCGTTAATGGTGGGAGCTGCCGGTGTTGAATATATATATATATATTCACACACCCACACATATACATATAGGTGTTGAATATATATATATATGGGTTTTTTTGTCATTTAAGATTATATATATATATATATTGTATTACAAAATTGAGGATTAAATGGTCTATTCACATGTATCAGAAGTCAAAAAGTAAAATGGGATGTAGGTGAAAGTTAAAACCAAAATCTTTATTTGTCTAAAATATGACCTAACCTCAGGGGGCCTAGGTGTAATTTACCCTTCTTTTAAGACGAGTGTAATCATATAAAAGTGGATTGCGAATATAGCCTTCCATTTTTAAAAAAAAAAAAAAAAGTATTTATGCCATAAATACTTTTTATATACTTCCGCCATTTACTTAATATACTTCTCAAATGTTTAAGGTATAATTTAAAATTTCTTTTTTAAAACATTGATATATATATATATCCGCCATTTACTTAATATACTTCTCAAATGTTTAAGGTACAATTTAAAATTTCTTTTTTAAAACATTGATATGTATATATATATATCATAAGTAATTTAATGTACAATTTAACCATGTAATATAACTTAATTTCTACTTTTTATATACTTCCGCCATTTACTTAATATACTTCTCAAATGTTTAAGGTACAATTTAAAATTTCTTTTTTAAAACATTGATATATATATATCATAAGTAATTTACTGTACAATTTAACCATGTAATATAACTTAATTTCCTTTATCATAACTCTTTTATAAGGAAATATTAGAAATAATATATATATATATATATATATATATATATATATGCTCACACTCCGTATATAACATGACATCCAATAACTATTCAAATTACGCGTTTTTAGTCAAGAGTCCTATTTGCCTTTTTGAAGGTTTCAACCGTATTGAATCGTCCTGGCAGTTGGCAAAGAGGCAAGAGAGAGAAAATGAGATTTTTTAGAGAGAGAAACAAACAAATACGAGACAAACATCATGGAGACAACGACATACCCCCTCAACTATATCCTCTCTCAATAACCTCTCTCATCCAATCCGAAAATTAGGGTTTTTTTCTCTGTTTCTCTCTCTCTACCTAGCTTAATTTCTCTCTCTAGAAAAAGTTTGAAAAAAAAAATTGGGGGTTTGTTTTGTCTGTTATTGGAAGAAGAAGAAAGATGAATATGATGACGATGGAGGGTATGATGGATCAGGCGGTTTTGGATGATATAATTCGGAGATTGTTGGATGGTAAAGGAGGCAAACAGGTACAGCTCTCCGAGGGTGAGATCCGTCAGCTCTGCGTCAACGCTCGCCAAATCTTTCTCTCTCAACCCAATCTTCTTCAGCTACATGCTCCCATCAGGATCTGTGGTCAGCTCTCTCTCTCTCTCTCTATATATATATGTATATGTATTTAATTATCTTGGGATTGTAATTATATTCCTTCAAGATTATGATGATTTATGAAATTCTACAAATGATGTATCTATAATTACAAAATAGAGAATTATGGTGTTAAATTTACATTTTGATTGATTTGTGGACGAGCTTTAGGTGTTTGTCAATTTGGGTGTGAGGGATTTATTTTTTTATTATTATTTTTAAATTTTTGGGGAATGGGAGGTGGGTTAGATTGTATATTGTTCTCTCAATTTGTCTATGAACTTTGGGTTTCTCTCAATTTGGGTTAAAGAAGAAAAGGGGCTAGCTAAGTCTCCTGCCACTGCAGGGTTTGGGGAGAGTTTGATGTATGCAGTTTTACATCTGCATTAGGAGAGACTGTTTTCTGTTTCGAAGCGTGACGAATGGAGCAACCTTACCGTTATGCCAAGGCCGGCCCTCAATTTGGGTGAGAGGGATTTTTTATTCTTAGTTTAATGTTTTGGGGAATGGGAGATGGATTAGATTGTATATTGTTGTTTTGATAGGATGAATTGATTTTCTGTAGATGCAAATGGGGCTTGTGGCGGGTCCTGTAAATTGGTTGCAGTTTTATTATGCATATATCTAAATTCTTAAGAATTGTTTGATAAACAACATAAAAATGATATCTTGTGGGAAGATTATCATTTTTCACCGATTCAAAATAGTTTTTATTTTTTGAGTTCATTCCTAAATATTGATTTTTTGCCAGGAATTGATTATCACTGAAGCATATAAACTTCCAACACAGAAGTTCTAGACCTAAAAGTTCAACATTATGATAATTTTATTTTTTCTTTGTCCCACCGAAGGCCAAAGTAGATAATGATACAAGCCTTGGCAATATTAAATATCAATACCAAGGAATTGGCTTGGTAGTAAAAAGCTGAAAAAGTTGTTATTTTAATTTGGAATTTATTTATGCATGGTAGCATATACATAGGTTTTCTACCACCTGATTCAGCTCTGTAACTCTTTCATCTGTTTTTTTTTGCTACGTAGCTACACCAATCTGTGGTGGCTCAATCCAAATTCAATCCTTGGGCTTTGTTGCTAATTTGCCTGAGTTGCTAATCATCTTTTGGATAACTTGTACCAGAGATGCTGCATTACTAAACTGTTCAGCTAGTTTTATATATTACTATACCTATTGTTGCCTCTATACTTCCTTGGCCTGACTAATATAACAAATGTTCTACAGGTGATATACATGGACAATACCAGGACCTATTGAGGCTTTTTGAATACGGTGGTTACCCTCCTGCTGCAAATTACCTCTTTCTTGGGGATTATGTAGATCGAGGCAAGCAAAGCTTGGAAACAATATGTTTGCTATTGGCATATAAAATAAGACATCCTGACAAAATTTTCCTTTTGAGGGGAAACCATGAAGATGCAAAAATCAATAGGATTTATGGTTTTTACGACGAATGTAAAAGGAGATTTAATGTTCGGTTGTGGAAAATATTCACGGACTGCTTTAACTGCTTGCCTGTTGCTGCACTCATTGATGAAAAAATATTCTGTATGCATGGGGGACTTTCTCCAGAGTTGCAAAGTTTTGATCAAATAAAAGAAATTCAGAGGCCCACTGATATTCCAGATAGTGGTCTTCTATGCGATCTGCTTTGGGCTGATCCTGATTCTAGGATTGAGGGATGGTCAGATAGTGATCGAGGCGTGTCATGTACTTTTGGAGCTGACAAAGTGGCCGAGTTTTTGGATAAGAATGATCTAGACCTCATTTGCCGTGGTCATCAGGTAATCCATGTTTTGATTGCAAACTCAATTACCTTTTGTCAATGGCATATATATGCACGAGGAATGGCAAAAATGTTGCCGCCTTGTGCATTCTTAAATTGTTCTTCATACCTGCTTAAAATTGTCAATGGGTTTGATCGTATGATTCAACCCAGTTCAATTCAATTATAGGAGGTCATCTAGTTGTTAAACATTAAATGACCGTAACATCTATATGCTGTTGTGCTCTTCAGAAATAGTCAAGCAAGCATCTGTGCACTGTTATGTTGTTCTTTAGGAATAGTCCTGCCATTACAATGTATGCTGTTAGCCTATTACATTACTTTCCACTGTTTTAAGTGTTTTTTTTCGGTCAATTAAGTTATATTTATAAATTTCCTAACAAAGGTAAAAACTTTATATTTATAATTTCTGTCCTAGCCCATCTTTGGATCTATATTCTAATTTATATATTCTGCAAATTGTTTCAATCATTCCTAACAAAGGTAAATGATGGTAAAGCCTTCACAACTCTGACCGAACTTTTTCTTTTTTTCTCATGTTACTAATAATACATTGTCTTTTGCACTTTATGGAGAGTTTGCATCATCTACAAATTGTTTTAAGCATTCAGATGGCCATTGACATGTTTAAGATAATTGATGGCAAAGCCTTCACAAATATGACCAACATTTTTCTTTTTCCTCTTTTACCTAACACATTGAACCTTGCACTGCATCGAGAGTTTATTTATCATTTGATGTGTGACATGCAGCCACAATTTTTTTTTTTTTTTTTTTTTTGGTCATATTTACCTAGCAGACTGATAGTTACATGATTAAAGAGGTCCGGGCTATGACCTAAATATAAGTTAAATTGCAGGTGGTGGAGGATGGATACGAGTTCTTTGCTAAAAGAAGACTTGTCACGATATTTTCAGCTCCAAACTATGGTGGGGAGTTTGACAATGCAGGTGCTCTATTGAGTGTTGACGACTCTCTAGTATGTTCTTTTGAGATAATCAAACCAGTTGATTATAGACCAGGCGGTTCGAAGTTGCCTCTAAAAAAGGTATATTGCATTTACATGGTTCTTCCTTTGTCAAGTTTTGTTATTTTATGGATTTAGACTCTAAACCAAACGTTCTCTCCTCTCTTTGTTCTTTTTTTGTTTCGTTTCACAAAGTCCAAGTCTTGGTGATTATACAAAAGAATCTTATTGATCTTTTTTCTTCCTTTCTTGATTTTGAGCAGCCCCCTAAACTTGGAAAGGCCTGATATATGACAAGTATTTGAGGATTTCTTCCAGTCAATGGTGAAGAAGTGCAAGCTCAATTCTTGCTAGTTATGAATTTTCTGTTAATACACCGGCATTATTACGGAGAAGTCAGTCATCTTAAACCCATGTAAATTCAGATCTATCATGATTTTGAAGCTTGCGCAGAATCCGATTGTAGTGGAGATTATGGGAAGATTTGTAAATCATCAAACTGATAACCTTCTGCACAGGAACTTAGATTTCACTTTGCTTGATTTAGACACAGTGTTGTATCCGATCATTGGCATTGAAATTTGAAAGTGTTGATTGAGGGTAAATACGACCGTAGATTTTGAGTCTTTTTTTGTATATCAATCATGATTCACGTCTTGTTTGTTCTGCGGAGCTGTTTGATTAATGCATCTGCTCATGTACGATTACACCTATTAACAACTCCTCCTCTGAGTTTCTTAGAATTAACTTCCAAAATAAGTGACTTTCTGATTTAACCGCGTGCACAGAGATGAGAAAAGCTTTAGGAAGTTAGAATGTCATTTTTGCAGTTTAACGGCTTCCACCAACTAGACATTTTGGAAGCCATTGCTTATAATGAAAGCTACCCACCTGCTTTAGAGCTGGGGTATAGGTCAAGGTACTAAGCCTTAAAACTACCATTAAAAGTTTAAAAAGAACAACTCTACTTTTGTTCTCCTGGCTTTGGGTTTTAACTTCCGAATCCCGTCAATGTTTCAACACCGTTAAGAAAGATTAAAAAGAAGTTTATTCCTGATTAAAAAAAGTTTATGGCTCTAAATCCGTTCCGTTACCTAGTGTTCGTTTGTGCGAATATTTACACAATATGAATGGACTAGGATCCCCTCCTCTCAGTGCTGAATGGATGAACGGACTAGGATCCTCTTCTCTTCAGCACTGGAAAGGGTCCTGCACCATAATGCATCATTTGAGAGCGTTCATAACAGTACAGGAGAGGTGGTGATTCTTTTATCATTCTACAATGACTTGCCAATAGAGAATGTGGTTTGACTTGTTTGTACCAAAGGTAGTTTATTTTGCCTACATCTTTTTTCTTTTTATTTTATTTTATTTATAAAATTGGGTGAGTCAATTTACCAATCTTTATTCTATGTTAACTTTGAAGTAGTGTTGTTTCAACACTAGAGTCCCTAGCAATGCGCCAATAAGTATCAACCTAGCCAAATCACATTGACAAAATCATCAAATTATCACCAAAAGATTAAATGAACACTATTTGAAGGCTTGAATCTTTCCCAGTAATTCAAGAAAAATTAAATTGATTGCGGGAACTAATTGCTGTAACAGTGAAGTAGTAACCAAACCTCCCTTTTCACTGAGGAGATCTTTTCTCACCTTCATATTCAATATTCAGATTCCTTCATATATTTCTACAATCAGATATCAAATTTCAAATGATTCCACCACAAAAGAATTAATCATCTCTGCAACAATTTGTTTCTTTCACACCGATTCTCAGCGTGATCATATCCGATGGTTCTTAGGCTTTCCTCATTTTTTTCACAGATAGTAGGAAATTCAAGATTATAAAATTTAAATTCAGAACTAGTTTCAAATTTAACCAAGGCTGCACTTGGTATATGGGAAAGTAAGTCCCAGAAAGATCATAAACCATTTTCACCCACTAACCACTTACCCATACCACCTCCCCTTGTTACCCTAGAACCACCATTACTGCATTTACATCATAGAAAGAGTTCTTTACTTGTTACAAAACTTTCACATCACTTCCGGGAATACGAATATTGGCTTGGTTTTATTATTGGAACCTACTTTATAGGGTAGCAGACTCTACACAAACTACCCTATACCAAAGCAAATTCTCCAATGGTACAGTACATCATAATCCATGAATGAGCTTTTCTGATACCTACTGCCACAAAAATTAGCCCACAGCACTAGCTCATTCAGCTGATATACCAGTTTGAGGGACTCCATGAAGAACAGAGACAGTTCAAAGCTATAATTGAGGACTACATACTAACTATGAAAATCGACGTAGAGGCCCTATTTGGCCTCATGTAGCTTTCGAGGGATGCGTTCCCCTATTGAACGCCTTTTTTATACAATCTTACTTATAAAAAAAATATGAATATAGACGTAGAGACAGTGAATCCATCATTTATCATCTTAGGAACTTTGCTGTCATTTCTGTTGTCAAAAATGTGAAAAACAGAAACCCTACCTGCTGTAACGTAATTCAAAGCTACAATTAAGAACCAACATCTTGCAAAGCCAACTATAGCATATCATTTACTTGGCAGGAAAGAAAACCAAGGATGTGAATTGTAGCAATATCTGCACGAATAATTTGTAATAAACAGGTGAAAATATGTTCACAGACAAAACCGCATCTATCTTCTACCTACCTTCCTAGGTCCTTGATTAACTTGAAACTTCTGGTTCATCTTCGCTTCCATATTCCTTGCAGTGCGTTGAATAGCAGCTATCTTCTGGCGCTGATTATGGCTCTTCCTTTTACTGCACGCTCCAACAAGTTTACACAAGTAAATATATGCTACTGCAAACACAATGATGACAATGATAAACTACATTTATTCAGGAGAGTTGTAGCCTCTTCTATGTGGAAAACATTAATAGAAGTATTAACAGAGAGATAATCCTGATATAAGAGATGGCAGAACCATAAATGATAAAGCCTCGTTTCCATTTGGCCAAACCGAGATGAACATTCTACAGCTAACAACAAAAGCCACGAAAACCAGAAGTATCGAAGCTGAAAGCAAGTCAGAGACAGAAGGCGGCAGATAAGCACATCCAGAGAATAACTGAAGCTGAAAGCAGGTCATGATGGTTACTATGAGCAAGCTAGTCATCAGTGTTTGGGATGCCAATAATCTATACAATTAGAAGTTTCTCAAGCACAGTGTAAAAACATTTTTTTTAAAAAAATTATATTTTGTTGACACAAAATAATAGAATTTTAGTTTCACAAAACTCTGCAAGCTGGGAAAATAGACCAAAGGTTGAGTTGATGAAACATGAAGGAAGAAAACAAGGTTCAGGAAGAAGCATGAAAATCCAGAAATTCAGCAAATAAATTTTACAAACTATGAGAATATAGAAGTGACAATAAGAGAATAATCTAACCTTGCAAACAGAAGTCCTGCAGTTAGAACCATTCCACCTACTGCCCAGGAAACTCTTTCATTAAATGGCATTTCCCTCAGCCACTGCTGAAAATCTTCCAAAACTCCCGAGTTATCAGCTTTCTGTTGCATCCCAGATTGCGAGGCACTCCATGAATCAGCAATGGAATCTAGACTGGTCTTCCCACCATAGCAAGATGTTTCTTCAATCTCATTAGGTGGTGTAACAGAAAAACCTGCAACTCGGCAAAGCTCTGTGCCATTAGAGATCCATTCGGAGGCTCTACCACAGACAAAGTCACCTACTCCACATGGTGCTAGAACCTGAAATGTAACATCTAATCAGAGAATGGAGTCCGTTAAGTATTGATGAAGAAAACTATTGTACTCAATTCAGAAAATGTAGACGATCTTCATAAAATCATTAGTATCCAAAGAAAACACCAAGGGAGGTAGGACAATTGATTTATGAGTCCAAATTAAGGAATGTAATACCTGTAAGATAGTAAGTAATACATCAATTGCAACCCCAGAAACATCGTTTTTTTCCTACTCAAAAATTCAGGAAAATAAAATAACATTGATTATCTACACAAAAAGGATATCTCAACGTTATCAAAATATGAATATATTGATGTATATATTCCCAAATCTCGTAAATAATTGATTCCCTATCCAAAATAAGAGCCTTAAAATACTTATCAAATAAATAAATAAGAACCTTAAAACCTTATTGGAGAACAACCTTATTGGAGAACAACAGAATCATCCATAACTTAACTGTTCTCTCTATCTCCGAGAGAAGTTTCAGTGCCGAAGTATACCATTAAGCATGGACATCATAATCTAACTAGAATACTTTATATAGCACAATCTTCAATATGAGTAAATATAATGGCATCTAATGTTTCCCTTGCATATGTACCAACCGAACCATCCTCATAATCCTTTAATGGAATCCCAAATTTATAAGAACTCGAATTACCACAAACCTGTGTCATTGCATCCATAGCGAAGTATGCACTAGAGCAGGCTTGGTATATTCGATCACAAAAACTAGCACATATGACAGGGGGACCAGGCTGTACACCAACATGTGGATCACATATGGAGCATTCCAACAACTCCCACAATTGCAAGCACTCTTGGCTTGCTTCCCCTGTTAAAGCTAGCTTCCTAATGGATACAAAAGCAGGATGAGTCTGGGTTACATCACAGCATGTCTTCCTGCGGAATACCCTACAAAGGGTCAAATCTCTGGGTCCCTTCCTCACTTTTCTTGGGGGTTTCCCTTCATCTGGGAATGGGGGAAAACGGCCACCCTGAGAAATGCAAACTCCACTAGATTTTCCTGCATTGAAATAGACTCAAAGCATTTTATATGCCATAGAATATAACCAATCAGATTTTTAATTAGAAAATTAATTATTATTCCATTGCAATATCAGCTGAATAAAAATTATTACAAACTCTGATGATTCAACCATTTAAAATACCTTTTCCTTTCCTCTATGTAGGATAAAAAAAGAAAATAAAATTCATACATATAAAAGAACCCCCAAGTGGGTTGAATTACAGTCCTGCTTCCCATAGTGCTTTAATTCAGTGTTCAGCGACCCTAAATAAGCACTTGCATTTGTGCATAGAGGTAAAATTTTATGGAAGAATGAAAATGGTAGGACATGGCAGCTAATGTGGTAATGGTGATTGTCATAGTAATGTGATGGTATAATTTCATTCAGTGTTCAGCGACCCTAAAGCTTTCTTGTAATGGAAAGAAAATAAATTGACGATATTAATATGGATTTTTTCTCTTTAGAATGCCATTCTTCTCTCTATATTCTCCTCTCCCCTTTTCACTGTTCTTCTCTTTCTTTCTTTTCTTCGCCTCTTCTACCTTTTTCTTTCTCATCTCTTCTTCTCATTCCCTTGTTGTATTTCCTCCTACATCAACCAATATCAAAGCATCTCATTGTTGCTTCTCAGCAAGAAGGTTACCAGCACTATCTTGTTAGATGAAGGAACCTTCCAAATACAAATTCTGCGTGGAATACAAAGGATGATTTTAGTTGCATTAATCTTCAAATTTTGGAGCAGTACCACCACCAGAACTCTACAAGTATGGGATTTTTTTATTAGCCAAGAAGAATTGATGGGATCAACATGCAACCCACATTCCATGTATGCACACACCCATGTTGGGTGTAGACACAAGTAATAAATTTTAGAAATTCATTTCATATTTATTTGTATTTTTAGGGAATTAATCATTTGATACTTATCTATCTTTTGATTTATTTGGCATCTATCTTCATCAATTTTATTGCTTTGGGTTTGCCTTGTATAATTAAATCTAGAAGGAGAATGGCTTTCGCTAGAAAAGATTGGAAAAAGAGAATTCATGTGGCCAACCTCGTTGGTAAGGTATAAGGCCTTTATGTAATGAGAAGAAATTCTTCATCATCCTTTCCTTTACCGCAAGCAAATGGGGACGGGCAATAAGAAGAAATTATTTGAAGAAATTAAAACAACTACAGATTTTCTCTTCAAAATCTGTTTCTCTCTCTCAATTCTCTTCTCCCCTCACCTCATTCTCTTATGTTTCTCTTCTTCTCTCACTTCCTACATCAGACAGTGGCTATGAGAGAACTATGATAGCAGTGGAAATGACAATAGCAATGGTGAAAGTCGCAGTGGTAGTAGCAGAAGCAAAGCATGGTGATGCTAAAGGTCGTGGTCTAGAGACAGCGAAGAAACAGTGTCTTGTGCCTCCCAAGATGGATTTTAACAAGAGAATAACACCCTCCAACTCCTTCCCTCGAATCTCTCAAGGAATTTCACAATTCCCTTTCCCTAATCACTCAAGTGCAAAAATTCAAAATAACTTATTCCTAAATCCCACTTAAACATGTGAATAAAACAGGAAATGCTTGTTACGCACAAATATATTTATAAAAGACAATATGACTAATCACTAACTTCTCTTTCCTTCACTCCATATGATTGAGTTCTTATCATACCTTTAGGAGTAAATAAAATAATCTTACCTTTAGGAGTGGTTTGAATTTTAAAATGAATTAATTGAGTTTATTATTGATTAAGAGTTGATTAAGAGTTATTTCACTCTGATTGTGGGAAGTCTCTTATGAATAAAAGTGTAGATTCAGATTGTGAGTTACTAAAAAGAGGGTCTTTTCCCCTAAATGTGAAATTTTACTTCATTTATTGCGTTTCTTATTCCAGGCCGCATCAGTTATACAATAATATATACACATACACAGAAATACATTTCCTGTATGAAAAAATAGATTGAATTGAGAAATAATTGAATCAGCAAAATGAACACATAAGCTCAAGAACACGAAAACCCTAATCAAGATACATAATATATATGTAATTATATATATATATATAGAGAGAGAGAGAGAGAGAGTTGTACCAGAGGCATATGGAACTAGAAGAATGAAGGATGTGAACAATAGTAGCAGAATGAGAGCATGGTTAACCAATCTCATCGTCCTCTCCGGACTCGCAAACGTTTGCTTCCGAAAACCAGTTGACCCGTGGGTTGAACTTGAACCCCTCCCTGTGATCTTGCCACGTCACCATTTAATTGACTCAGTACATAGTAGAAATGAAAATAAAAACTTTTTTCCTCTACTATTTTTTTTTTATTTTTTTATTTTTGTTCATTAATCCCGTCACAAAACTAAAGGACATGAATGCTCCTTTCTTTGAATGTAAAATATTTTTTAAAATATTTTTTTATTTTTTGTTATTTGATTGTCATAAAATATTTATAAAGAAAAAAAATATTAAAATTTAACAAAAATAATTTATTCATTAATTTTCGATAAGTTATTTTACAAGCGCCGTCTGATGGACTTGACCTCAACTTTAAGCCAAACATCCACAAAGTAAAAATAAAAGATTATTTTACTTAAAAAAATAAAAATATTTTTAAAAAAAAATATTTTACGTAGAAACTAAAGGAGTCGAAATGTGAAAATAAAATTTACACGATGTTGCTTTTCAGACTGCCTAATAAGTATTTTGAATTTAAAATTAAAAGATATTTAGTAAAAATTTTGTACTTAAAAATAAGATTTTTTTTTTTTGAAATAATACCCATCACAAATTTTATTGTGAGCTTTCTTCGCTTTATTATAATTTATACCACACAACTTTTCGTAGATAAGAGTTCTGCCAAATTTTAGTTGATTTAATTAAGTGTATTTTTTTCTCTGTTTTTTTTTCTCCTATATTTATTTATTTATTTTTTTTCCCTCTTTCTGTTTGGTTAAGTGTATTTTAATACATCAATTGACTTAAATTTTAACCCTTCAATGTTTTTTGTTTTTTGAATTCAAATGCATATATCAATTATCGAATAACATGTGATTTTTTATTTTATCCACTTTGGATATGGCCCACCGATTTACTCGTTGGACTTTGGAGTTTAGTAAGCCCAAGATGTAGGGTTCGAGTCCTGCTAGGTGTTCTTTGTGACTAGCCTTCGCTACCTCTGCAGTGACTTACCCTGCCTAGAGAGGTGTCCTTTCGGGTCCTCAAAAATTAGTCGGGTTGTTGAGAGGCCTTAAGAATTCGTGTCATTTAATTCAAAAAAAATGTGATTTTTTATTTATTTACGTGACGTGTGCTATAAAATAAAAATAAATTATAAGCGTAAGAGCCTGGGGGTTCTTATCGCATCTAGATTTGGATGGAAAATGTCTTAGACATACAAAAGATAGTATCCAACATTATCTAAACGCTTTAAGATTTTGAGTCACTAAAAAAAACAAAAAAAGCTTATAATGTGGTCATTCGAGTAATATTTTTCTGTCATTTTGTCGATCCACACCCTGGTTTAATCGGATATTGACCATATTAAGTTGTGTGCTAGTTTGATGGGATAGTAATGGTTTGAGTAATGAATATGAGAGTGATTTACAATCAAAATGTTTTCTTATTAATTTCAATTAAGGATGAGTTTAATTTAAAACTTGTTTAGAATCTAAATGAGTCAAACAAACCAAAATCAAACTCAATGAGCCATCTGGACTTCGACATGAATTTAATTGAACTTGAATGGTCATTTGCTTAACTTTGACTCAATTGAAGGCACATTTGTTAACCACCATTGACGGGCTTCATTTGGATTGAGGAAATTAGAAAGAAAAGAAATGTAGGGATAACATAATTCATGTTTTGGTTAAAAAATGGGATAGGAAATTAAAGAAATAATTGCTTAAACCCTTTTCACTGTCCTTTTGAAAAGTGGATGATTTAATATGATAAATTTCTTTTTTTCTTCAATTTTTCAAAAAAGAGTAATGATTTTTTTTCTTTCAATAAAAGTAAAGGTTCATTTTCTTCTTGTTCACACTATACTATTATTTTTTTTTCTTTTTTTTTTCTTCCATAACTAAATTACGAGTATTATTTATTTCCACCACACTAATTCAAAAAAACCTAAGTTACTAAAGAGTGCAATTTTAATATTTATATATCCTCTATTATCATGTTAACCATGATCTTTCTAAAAGTTTAAGAAAATTAAAGCAATTTTAGTTTTCATGTCTTCGAAGTTGTAATGCACTCTCCCAGAAAAAATTATTACATAGTCCCGCTAATCACAATTCGTCACATAAATAAATGTTTCATTCCATTTACTTTATGTGTGAGCTTTATCATTGGCGGGACTAATGGTCTCGTATAATTTTTTTTAGTTTACCTATTATAATTTTAAGAATAATAATAGGGGAACTGAATAATGATTCCTGAATTCTTACGAACGTGATCTCAGTACACATCAACTTATTTAAACCTATTTTAAGAGTAAAAATTTAATATCTTCTCTCCCCTCACGTGCACGTTGTTTGGGGTCTTTCAGTATCTTTAACTTCTTGCTGCAACTGTGTATATCATATTCTTAAGGCTGAATCCGAGCACTCAACTGCGACGAGAGATATCGTCTTGGCTTCCATTGCAAGAGACGATTATTATACCCATAAATTACAAAGAATAAGGTCCTTTAATTCGATTTCCTTTTTAGTTGGTTGGATTCAAGGGTTGCACGAACTTGATCTTGAATCACCGTAGAATTTGGATGAAGAACGATACAATTTGATGTGCTTGTTGTTCTTCATCTTCAGAGAGGATTTATTGAATTTGGTGAAGAACAACACGACTTTGGATGTGCTTGGTGTTCTTCGCCTTCAGGTTTACCCTCTGGATTTTTGATTCTCTCAATTTCTGGACCTTCTGGATTTCTGAATCTCTGGATTTTTATACTTTGAATTTTCTGATTCCTTCAATTTCTGGACCTTCTGAATTTCTGAGTTTCTGGATTTCTGGATTCTGAATTTGTGTCTGAATTTCTGGACTTCTGAATTCTGAATTTGTGTTTGAATTTCTAGACTTTTGAATTTTGAATTTGTGTCATTTGTTGAATTTGAGAAAGAACGGCATGTCTTTGGATGTGCTTCTTGTTCTTCGTCTTCAGAGAAGAGAGAATGTGTTGAATTTGGTGAAAAACGGCACGACTTTGGATATGTTTGGTATTCTTCGCCTTCAAGTTTGCCCTCGAAATTTCTGAGTCTCTAGATTTCTGGACTCTCAATTTTTGTCCTCTCCTTCTTCCTCCAGGCCTCTATTTATAGGCTTCTTGGGTTGATAGGATAATGACACGTGTCATCTCCTAATAAAAATAAAATTATAACTAGGCCGGTTGTATTATGATAATTATCCTTAAAAATAATTATTCCAAATATATTTTACTAAGAATAATTATCTGTTTATTTAACCATTTGGGCTGGGCTAATTAAATAATTTAAGTGAACCAAACTTGAGCCAATTAAATAACTTAATTAAACATTATGTCTATATTTAATAGATCCATTTATCAAAATTAAAGCCCACTAAAATTTTAGTGTCTACAAACGCCACGTCCACCACTTCAAATCAATTCCTTTTAATCGCTATAATTTTTCCGTTTTAAACTTTTTCCAAAAAAAACCTCAATAACAACAATTAATCTCTATTGTATTTTTTTTTTTTTCCTTTTATCAACATCCAACTTTATTAATAGATTGCCAATTAAGATTAGATTTCTAATGGCAAAATCAATAGCGTCAAGCCTTCAGATGGATTGTTTGGGCTTCCAAAGCAAGAGACTGCGCTTCAACGTCTTCCATTGCAAGAGATTTTGTTTCCACCTGAACAACATTCTTCTCATGCTCCTCGCGGTGGATCTTGAAAATTTGATAACAATTTGTGAGGTTGAAGACGCACTATTGAAGATGAATGGTGGACGACCCACAGCCCACGTGAGGTGACATAGGATATTGAATTCTCACAGTAAAGAACGGCTAAAAAATTCTGACCTGGCTTGGCCACATCAGATTTACTGAATTTTTTATAATAATCGATAATAATTATTGGATTGCTCTATCATTACTCTAATTTGAATTAATAAATTACTTTCCTAAACACCATTTCACGGTAAAAAATGATAGGGTTACCCAATGATTTTCTCGAACAAATCTCAAATCTTTTTGTTCATCTCATCTTTTTAAACAATTTTCAAAGAATAATTATTTAACACGTAATAAGTATGGCCAACCTCTTCAAATTCGGTGGTAATTCAATAATTCTTTTTTAGTTTCCAGTATACCAAACAAAAAATTTAAAGTTTTAGTACACTATTCACCACCACCCTACTCCACAGCCGACTTGTTTCCTTTGTCCAGCTTTTTCACACACGCACAGGCACACAAAAATATCAAAATCTCTGTATATAGAGAACAAAATGCATTACAAACTCTACATGCTTACAACTCATAACCAGCCTCACAGAGATTAGGTTTCCGTTGTATAAGAGTTACACACACACACACCTATTTACACACAGCTGCATATAACTACAACATTACATTCACTTTAATTCTTGACTAAGAACATCAGGCAGAGTTCCCAGAAACGCCGCCATTTCTGGCTATCCGATACCTGGATTATCTCAAATCTCACACGTCGTGAGGAGGAGGAGGGCTCCTGGGTCCAACTCTACTTGCTTTCTGGTACGCATCCGATGTAGACCTCCGACGAAACCGGTAGGGTTCTTTCCCTCCTGATCAACATAACCGACCATGTTCACGTCTGTTAGCCATCAACAAAAAATTCACCCATCAAAACTCACACATGCATTACATATATTATATTGCTGTATGAACGTGGACCGATACACGTTAACCAACCCCCATAACATGTATAAATCAATACACAATTGGAGATGCAAATTCTAAGATTTCATTTGGATTGAAGTCTACTAAAGATCAGTAGAACATAAAAGCATGTTTTGGCATTGAACTTTCCTCCAAAAAAAAATAAAAATATCTATTTTTTGAAGATGAAACTTTCCATCAATACCTAGCTACACAAGAGAATCCCAAGTCAAAGTTTGATTTTTTGTCCAATTTAAGCTAGCTTAGTATACTCGATTAACAAGGACATACGGTATTAGGTAATAATCGTTAAAACTATTTGTTTGGCAATGAGGAAATTTAAATCTGTCAATGAAGTTAACAGGCCAACCAATTCCCAGAGTAGGTAGGAAATTTGAAAAAGTGTATTAATTCTTGGTTTTATATGTGAATATAAAAATTCGAGATTTAATAAATAAATTTCTTATTAATATTTTATAACCCAACTTTCATCACACCTCAAAGGTGGAAACTACAACATTAATTTATCCACTTGACAATTCATGATGTGAACAAATATATATATATATATATATATATATATATATATATATATATTCCTCGCCAAATTGAGCTGCTTGTACACAATACCAATCCAAGTAAATGCATACAAATAATACTATATGATAAATTGATAACCCTCTAATTAAGCAAGTTAGCCTAATATAGAAATAGTACTTTTAACACTCAGAGAAAAACAATACATATTATGGCTAAATATAAAGGAAATCACATGCATGATAACCCTCTAACTCTAAAAAGGCAATACTTAAAAAAAAGAGTGTGTGTGTATATATATATATAAAATAAAAAAATAAAAAACATCCCATGTTCCCTCCACCCCTCTTCCTTTCTTTCTACAGAATAAAGCATTCACTTTTTACCTTTAGGTGACAAAGGTATAGGAAATATACAGACTAGCTAGGAATCCAATATGAAATCAAGTAAAAATTAGTGAAATTCTAATTTTGGATCCACAATATTTATGCAGTTTGATAAGGTGACATGAACCCACCACAATTATATATAGAGAGATGATAAGCCTTCCGATCTTAATTACAGACTCTTTCTACGAATATAACGTGGTTCTACATGTTGAAACTCTTAAAAAAAATTCCGTAAACATTTTTTTCTCTTCGACTTATTTTCAACCACGTTATATTCGGAGGAGGAATCGACAATTGACGTAGGAAGACCTATCATTACTCTTATATATATCATCACAAAAATTTATGATAAATTCCTAATCAAATCATGTATACATATGTATATGTGTGTGTGTTGTGCATGTGTCTGTGTCTGAAGAGTGAACAAACTAATGAATGTCATTTTCTACCTCCACTATATTGCACTCCCATTATCTATTAAGAAGTTGATAAACTTTCTCAATTTAATCATGTTTCCAACCAAACAAACATCCCGGTTCCACTTTATTTGGAAAATCATTTGGGACAATTATGTGGTCATATTTGCCCATAAAAACAACAAACAAAAACAAAAAATTAATACTCCAATAACAAGTCTTACCGCCAAAAGGAGAAACCGGAGGGGAGGAGCTAGCCGGCGAAATCGGAGGCGATCCGTTCGGATTCCCCTGAGGTTTCACTATCGTGATGCTCCTCGTAACCCTAATCCTCTCCGCCGCCGCATCATCACCGTATGATCTAACCATCACACCCTCTGCCTCTGGAATTTCTGTTCAAAAAAACCAATCAAACGGTTAACCAATTAACGATCCGTGTTAAATATACGAAAGTTTAGTGGATCTGATTCATTTTAAACCGTCTGATTTCAATTCGATTCATTCTTTCAACATTAACCACCATTGACTGTGAATTCATGAACGATTGATGGATTTGAATCTAAAATTGTGTTTTCGAAAATCCAAATACATAACATTTTCAATAAATAAACAATTCAATTCTCAATTTCAATTATAACAACAATTACGAATATATATAACAAAAAAATTACACTGATTTAATTCATTTGGTTAAAATTTTAATTCTATATTACACTACCTATTATATATTTATACATGTGTATATATACAAATGCGTGTTCATATATAGAGCTATCGGCGTACCCTTGCCGGAGCTCGATCGGAAGCTAAAGGTGGGGTACTTTCGGAGCTTGCCGAGGCCGTTTTCCGGCCGAGGTCCGGCAACGGTGTCATCCCACAACTGGTCGAGTAAACTCATGGCTTATTTTAGCAGAACGTCGTAAACTTTAAAACCTAAACTCCGGCGATGGAGGAGTGTGTAATGTTTCTTCTATGGAGTGGCGGGTGATATTTAATGACAGGCCGGCGTTAAAGGTCGAACAAGTGCGAGAAAGTGAGAGCGTTTTGAACCGTTGGATTAGATCTGTAGATCGGAAATGACGTGGAGGTTATATTGGTAAACACTTTAAGATAAGATCGACATTAGTGGTGCCACGTGGCGTGTCACGTCATGGGACACTGTCAAAATTTGAAGGTCCAGAATACCCCTGACTTTATCTATATGTGAGTAATTGGGCTCAAAGTTTATTCTAATTACACATTTTTACCGAACAACTACAAACCCAAGATTTAAAAAAAAAAAAAAGAAATGAATAACATTTAAAAGTAATTCAAAAGGTGACATTCTTTTTTAAAGTTGGATTTATTTTTTTATTTCACTCTTTTTAGGACCTGTTTGACAACCTCAGTTAATTTGTGTTTTTACTTTAATTCAAAATAAAAGTAATATTTTTATTATTAAAATGTGTTCAATACTATTTAGAAACTTGTTTAGTAACATAAATTTGTTACAAGATTTTTAAAAGTAAAAACATGAAAGTATATTTAGTAAAATGTGTTACAAGTTTGAAAATTTGAATGGTTTAGTTAATTTATTTATTTTTATTTTTTTTATTTTTTTATTTATATATTTTTTATTTTATGAACAATGCTTTGTAAATAAAAGTATCATTTTGATGCTTCCGATTTTAGCCTTAATTTTGGAAGCGCTTCGGTACTATTCAAAAGCACAACAAATATTACCAAACATGCTTCGTGTTTTTACTTTGCTACAGTACACTAAAAAAAGTAAAAAAAAAATACAAAGCAAAAGCACTAGCCAAACAGACCCTTAAAAAATGTGTTTTTGCTCTCTCGAAGAGATGGGCATATAAGTTGATTTAGTTTAGTAGCTCTATTTTTCTTTTTCATTTTAATAAAAAATCAATCCATTCACTAGTTATTTTGAACTTTAGAATAATTTAAAAACTTCACTTAATCATCTACAAAGTACAAAGCAAGTCCATCATTTAAATTCAAATATAAATTAAAAAAAGTATTTTCGAAAACTTTATCATTTAAGTTAGTTCGTACAGAGTTAAGCAACATTATTATCATATTCAAGGGTTTACTCTTTTTCTTCATCTATGTTTTTTTGCTCAAACTTCATTTACATTTTACTAACCTTATAAACTTCATTATTTTTTTCTTCTGGGAGTTAACTGAATTTTACGGAAAAGAAAATAAATATATCTCTGAATAAATAATAAAAAATAAAAACAATACAAAGAATGAAATATAAGAGCCCGGTTTTGCTCTACTAATCAGGATACAATTTACAAGAACACTGCATTGGCCATGTTTTAAATTTTTTTCATTGTCATTTAATCGAAGATCAGTTTAAGTTGTAATCTGGTTGAGTTTTGGACTTGACCAATTTTACTCGGTGCATTTGGTTTTTGAAGTGTACCGTGTATTCCGAGGTGAATTAGTCTCATCTGTAAAATGTGGAAATACCTCTTCTATGAAAAAAATAAAATAAAAATAAAGACATTTATTTTTTGTACAATGAAGAGAGGGATGGATTAAATTTAATGACAATTTACAAAGGAAAATTGTTCCTTTTTTTTTTTAATTATAGTAAAGATAAACAATAGTAGACGAATTAATTACAAATCATTTTGTATCTCTTTATTGATAAAGATATATTTGAATAATTCAAGTAAAAAAAAAAAAAAAAAAAAAGAATAAAGAGTGAATTTTTAAAAACAGAGTAATAGATATAGAATATTACCTAGTTTTTTTTTTTACTTTATTGTGGTTTATCCTTGACTTTTTTCAACAGTTAGTAGGATTTTTTTTAGCTGCGACCCAAATTTTTTTTTTTTTTTTTACTGAATCGTAATTGGTTTGCTTAATTTTGGATGAGTGAGATGCGACTGACAGAGTATTTTTATTTGGTTGAAAATGACATTTTTGTTAGGTAAGAAAAGTGGTTAAGTATTTTAGAATATATCACCATGAATAATTCTTCTATAAAAACTCCCTTAAAGCGTAGCAATCAATTATTAATTTCTTGTCCCCCAATCTCTTTCTCTCCCGTGGTGACTTGGCATAGTGAAGCCTCCTCCCACTTGCACAAAAAATAAATAAATAAGTTATAAATAAATAATAATAGTAAATTTATATTTGTTCTAGCCACTTATGACACTTCACATTAGTTGTATTTTAAGTTAGCATATTTTGAGCAAATAAAATAATGCACAAATTATCATTGTCATTATTAAAGTAATCTCATTGTTAAAAAAATAAAATAATCAGTTCAAAATATAATAAAATTAAATTATATGTGACTGACAAAGTTAATGTTGTAATTTGATAAAATAAAAAAATAGAAAAAAAAAAAAAAGAGTGTGTAAAACTTTGATTCATTTGATGTAAATAAATTTTGGTACAAAATTTTGACTATCCAATTATTTATCAAACGGTTAGATTCACACCTTAATATTTGTATATAATTTACGAAAAATGTATAGGAAAAGACAATGAGGTAGCATTAACTCTATGTTCGTTGAACAATGATTCATAAACATATTTCTTAAGTATATTTGTCTAGCCTATTAGTTTTTATCATTTAATGGTAGTGGATGAGACCCACATTCTTGTTCTTTATTTTTATCTCATTCATGTACCTCTCTTGAAAGTTTAATAAAATAATGTGCATATGTCAGTGGCACGTGCTATATATGTACAGCTTTGATTAGTCCCGTGCACGATACACCGGATACTGCTCTTCTTAATCACAGTACACAATAAATTCAAAGCACTGCCCAATCGAGGAGAGGGATTATGAGTTTGTGAAATTTGCACTCAGTGAGCCTTTAATGGACCAAGCAGGCCCACCAAGCACTGTACAGGAGTCTTAATTGGGTTGGGCCCCACGGCCTTTGTCCAGTGCCTCCCTCTAGGCCCACTAGGGTTCACCTTATTGATGAGTATTATTTTGACTTGTTCTTAAGAGAATGGAGACAACCATAGTCTCACTCTGTTATTTTGCTCTTTCCTTTGTCCCTTTCAATAGAATTTTCACTCTGTTACCTAATAATTCGGCTTATCTTTACAAATATATGAAGCAATATTAAAATATTGGGACCAAAAAAAAAAAAATTTGTACCATTAATTGCTAACTGAAAGCTCAATCTACTGACTTTAGAGGGAAAATTTAATGTGAAAATTTCACCATAACCTCCTTTATTTTCTTGTTTTTTCAAAGCACAGAATTTCCAAAATCTTATGTTTGCACACAACCATTTACAAATTACACTTAAAAAAAAAAAAAATGATATATTTGGTTCTTGGAGAAATTTGCACACACAATTTTCATATCTCTAAATTTAAGAACGAAATATGAAGTAAATAATAATTTTATTAATTTATAAAAAAATTGGGTACAATCCGTATCTAAGTCAAATCATCGAGACTTTTTTTCTCAAAATTATTATCAAATCATTTTTTTTGTTACATAATAATTGTTCTTAATCATTCCGCTAATCTTTTAATGATATTGAATATTTATTAAAAGATTGGACCCAACTGAAGTTGTTTTTGAAATGACATTTTGAAAAGAGTAAGAGAATCCCTTAATTGCTAATTGAGAATTGAACATTTCACAGTAGTTTTTTTTATTTTTTCTCCTTTTTTATGTACACAAACAATCATATACAAATTAAATGTACAGAGTAAAGTCAAACCTAAAACATCTTGTTTTGAGTTTTTTTTTTTTTTTTTTTTTCATCTTAAACAAAACTTTTTTAAGATAAAATCTCTGCTAGGATATTTACTTACCAGTTGTTGACAATAATTAGCATGTGAAGACAGACACAAGTCCACATCTAAATAACTTCCTTACGTAAGTAAGATAATATTAACAAGCCAAAAGATATATATATATATATACAAGCCAAAAGATATTCAATTCCATCAAATTTCTCTTTTTATTTCTTGTTTCTTCTGTCTTATTCTGCTAGGTTGATCTAAAATAAATGGATATGATTAATGAAGAAAAAGTGTGACAAGGACTCTAGTCACTTTACCAAGCACCCAAAACTAAGTGGGTGGCTTTGCTTTTTATGCTATCAAACATAACAATATCAGATTAGTTTAGTTGGGGCGTACCATTATGTTTGTAATATGTTATAGTATATGTTTGTGATATGTTATACTAGTATAATTTCTTAACTGTGATATGTCAAGTGGCGGTGCGTATCCAATGTATCAAATCTCAAAGATAGAGGGAGACCGATAAATATTCATAATATCTAGATTTTTATTTAATTTTATTCATAAAATATTTTTATTTTTTATTTTTTTATGTTAGCGTTTAATATAGGCGTTACACTTGAGCAATAATTTAAGGAAAAAATTTGGTACTAGTGAGTAGGTTAGGTCATTCCTACTCAACGTTAATGTGATTCAATCATAAATGCACACATAGTCTGTAATTACAAAATTAAAAAAGTGATAAATAAGAATAATAATTTATTTAAAAAAATAAATTTAGTCACCCTCTTTAATTTTCTTATTTATTATTTTTCTGCAATTGCAAATTATGTGTGCATTTATAATTGAACCGCTTCCCCACTTAATAGGGCAAGTCTTATCCATAACAAATATATAGATGGAATCTGGTAAATGGTCATTCAATGCAGGCAAAGTAGCAAATATGAACTCTGAACCAGATTGGTGTTTGTCAATTTATAATTAATAACCTCACAATCAATAGTTCAAAAGATTTGTCAGGTTGGAGGATTTGAGCCCGCGCGCCGTCCAATTTTTAGAGAGGTTGCGCCATGCAGGAAAAGCTAGGGCTGAGAAAAACTCTGCACCGCACTAGTAGAGTTGATTTTTAGTCCTTCACATTTGTATGGATATTGTGGAGTATTATTGAGAGAGTGAACATTCTAGAGGGCTAGTAGAGTGTAGGAAAGATGAAATTGTGGTGTATTGTAGTGTTGTT